GGAAACATTGCTAAAGAATTCTACAATGCGCACTCAAGATATTTTTTTTGAATATATGAAAAGATCATTTAAAATATTGAGAAGAAAGCATGGGTAGGAAGAGACGACCCTTGCAGTCTTTCACTCACCCTTATCTTTAAAACATTGCCTTAAATGCCCAAAGCAAGCAGCAAATCCCTCCCTAGCTGAGACACCGAAGAGGCAGAGTGAATGGGAACAATGACTTTAAGTATGTGTGATCTCTGAATGCCCTCTGCACCTACGACACTGCTCCAGGGACCCCATGCCTTGGACAGCGTTTTCTGAAAAGGGCTTGAGAAAACCTGCACATAGTAGGCAACCCAAACCTGTAATCCCAGCACTCAGGGAGCTGAGATAGGAGGATTATAAGTTCAAAGCCAGCCTTGGCTGTATGGTGAAACCCTGTCTCAAGAGCCACAGCATCTAAAAAAAGAAAAGAACCAGAGAGTGAAATATTTCAGGCACTGTGTGCTACGTAAGGTCTACTGCATGTTCTTCTCGGGTGTATTGTGTAGCCCTGTAAGAGTGTGAAAGTCACTCTTTGGGTGCCATTTGCTGGCAACATCTGTCCCACAGGTTGCTGCAGGCTGCCTCTGCCACATCCCTGCCTGAGCCAAGCACACTGGCCATGCAACCAGACAAGATTACCAAAATAGAGAAAACCAAGTGCCTTCTGTTGAAAAGGACAATACCTTGGTAGACAGATAGTAAACCGAGTGCAAGAGTTCCCCAAGTCAATGGGTTCTTTCTTCACAATTCTTTTAAAAATCCCAGAGCTGTTTGTGCTTCTTTTTTGTTTGTTCGTTTTTATTTTGTCTTTGATTTACAGTGAGGAAAGGGAGGTAAGGGGTGACAGACATAAAGAATTTGGTAGATTGTTCTGATCCATATAAAGACAATGTTTGAGGTTAAATTGGTTTCAGAAAAAAAGGCAGAAGGGGAAATAACCTCCCCCAAATTAGTAAAGCTATAATAATTAAGAGTATAAATGGCTTGGGAAATGACTCATGGGTAAAGTGGGTCTCACAAAAGCATGAGAACCAGAGTGTGATCCCAAGACTCCATATTAAAAGAAAAAGGCAAGGTTTATAGATAGCTTGGCAGTACATTATGAGAATATTTTGGATTCCAGAACCAATGTAACAAGTCAGAAATCCTAAAAGCGCCTGTAGGTTCATCTCTGTGGAATATGATGGCCTGTTCTGTCCTTAGCATGTGAACATGCCCACACTTGCGCACACACACTTGCACATATACGTAGACAATACTTAGGCACACACTAATTAAAATTACTTAAACAGCAACAACATGCATAGTAGAAAACATCTGTAATCCCCCAAGCGCTCAGGAAAGAGAAACAAGCAGAGGTCCTGGATTTGCCTGTCAGAGAACCTAGACATCTCAGTGAGCTCCAGCCCATGACACACTGTGGCTCCAAAAACAAGGTCAATGGAAACTGAGGAGCAACACATAGTCAAGGCTATTAACTCTACACACACACACACACGGTTATTAACGCTACACACACATACACACACATACACAAGGTTATTAACTCTCCACACATACACACTCAAGGTTATCTCGATACATACACAAGGTTATTAACTCACACACACACACACACACACACACACACACACACACATACACATGAGAGAGAGAGAGAGAGAGAGAGAGAGAGAGAGAGAGAGAGAGAATGAGAATAAACCCAAACCAGGTTAATAACATAAAAAAGCATAAAGCAGCAGACAGATCTTAGCACATATAAGAAATCAGCACATGACACAATGTTGATAAAGTGTTTGGTGAAGGGGTACAGAAAGATTCAATTAACAAGAATCGCTAAGACAACTGATTATTTGTGGGAAGAAAATTAAGTTCAGTATTTTTAATATTTAGAATAAATTATATTCTAAAATAAATTCTAAATCATTAAGTTTAAGAACTCTATTAGAGAAGCTTAAATAAAGCACAATTAAATATTTCTATTCTCTTATCTGGGAACAGCATTCTGAAATTATAGTATTAATACATATGCACACACACATGTACATATACATGAATGCTTGAAAATGAAATTAGTAAATTCAGTTAACAAGTTTTGGAGCTAGAGATGTAGCGCAGTAGTAGAGCGCTTGGATAGCCTGGCTCGGGGCCTTCGGTTCAATCTTCTAAACCTATAATGTTACCTATAATGTCAATGTAGTAAATATATTCTTACACATTACATGGTAATTTTAAATATTAAATAAACTTAACCATTTACAAGCCAACAATTACTGTTTTGAGACTGTAAGAAATACTTTACAAGTGAAAACAGCATCATTAGGTTTAGGCGATGAAATTAGTCACATGAGTGTACAATGCCTATGAGAGAGCCTTTTCCAGGTTCCAATCGTCTATGAATGAAACAGAAATGGACATTCCCTTATGTAAATAATATCAAGCATACTTCCAGCGGTCTGGATTTTTGATCTAGAAATTTTCCTTCAGAAAAATCAAGGAAGGGGCTAAAGAGATGTTTTGGTGAGCAAAGACTTAATAACCTGAGTGTTCTTCCCCAAACCCATAGCACAGGGGAATGTTGTGGAATGTTATTTTAACTACAGAGATGCCGTCCAGCTGTTTCTGCTGCCTTTGTTACGACTGCAAAGATGGGTTGTCTTCGTTTGGGCTGGACTTGTTGAATTATGGAAAGATGTGTTGCATTTGATTCACCTTGACTGCCTAAGGTACCTGATTTGTCTAATCAAAGGATGAATGGCCAATAGCTAGGCAGGAGAGGGATAGGCAGAGCTGGCTGGCAGAAAGAATAAATAGGATGAGAAATCTAATCTCGAGAAAGAAGAAGAGAAAAAGAGAGGAACATGGCCAGAGCCAGAAGCCAAGCAGCCACGAGCCAGTCAGACACGAGGAGCAGTGAATGTAGGTCATACAGAAAGAAAGGTAAAAAGTCCAAGGCAAAATGTAGATAAAGATAAACAGATTAAAATAAGAGCTAAGACCAGCATTTATAACTAATAAGTCTCTGTGTCATGATCTGGGAGCTGCTTGGTGGCCCAGGAGAAAACATGCTACAGTTGAAGGAAAGCACCAACCCTATGACATTGTCCTTAGACCTCCACACATACATCATCATCACACACACACACACACACACCCTACACACACAATAATAAGCACAATTTCTAAAAGAATAAATATAAATAAAGTAATCATGAATATATAGAGAGATATAAATGTATTAATATGTACATTGGGACATAATACATAAAGCAGGATTTGCATATCTAACTCTAAGAAATGGAATGGCTAATAAATTATGACAAATCCATATCACAATATTTTACACTACCATTTAGCAAATGCTTAGCGAAAGTGTTTTTTTACTTGTTCTACATTATCATTGATTATCATTGTGGTGGCAGTTGTATCTGTGCAGTGTGACTATGAGGGCAGGTGTCCCGTGTGTGTAGCGGTCCGAGGACAATTTGTGGTCTCTTTCCTTCCACTGTAGATGCCTGGGATCAAACTAGATCATCAGGACTCAATCATGCATGCATAGAAAGTGCCCTTTACCCACAAATCCATCTTCCCAGCTCAGGAAGCATGTGTGTGTGTTCACACACAGAATTCAAATTTAATACACCAAAATGGTCAATAGTGTTTGTCACTGCAATTTCCCAAGAAGATAGATTCTCGGTCACTAGTATTTTAATATTTAAATGCTTTTCTGTTTTTTCTACCATTGGAAATACCTAATATCTTAATCAGAAAAAAACAAACCTGGAAGACAAACCTTAACCTTTCATGAAACACAATAGAAAGAAAAATGTTGACGCTCACTAAACCAAAACTCAGTCTCAACCAGAAAACACAACTGATACTGACCTCTGGCGTGCAATGTAAGTGTGATGTAAGGCTTCACATGGCAGATTCAAAATCATTAACAGGTGTTTGCTGTGTAACCATGAGAACCTGAGTTTGATACCCAGCACTCACATAGAGGTCAGATGTGGCAGCTCACAACTACAATCCCAGTTCTGAGAAGGCAGAGACTGGCAGATCCGAAGACTTTCTAGCCAGGCAAGTCTGGTCAAACTGGTAAAATCCAGGTTTAATGAGAGATGCTGTCTCAAAATATAACATAAAGAGTGACTTAGGAAGGCACCCATCGACCTCTGAACCCCCAAAGCACAGACACACACATGGGAACATGAAAGACATGCATTACAGTATCTTATTAAACTAAGACCCTAAATTTATCACAATCTTGTCCCAACATGAGCCAGCCATGTCTTAAAAATATGCTAGCATAAACACCAGCACAATGCTCATCCAGGCTTAAGGGAAAATATACAGTTTATACACAAATGACAGCACCCAATAAAAGCTCTGCAACAGTAAAGCCAGATTCATTAAAGGGAACATGATCAATAACCTTGATTTGAACATTATTAGATTGTTAGAGTAAAACACTGTAATTAATGGAGGCCTGCCCTTATTAGCACAGGAAGTTGGGAAATGGGGCTTGCCGGTCACTTGCTCCTAATGCAATGAACAGCAGAAACAATGTACTGGGTCATTAGCAAATCATCTGGGAGAAACGAGTAACTCTACAGAGTGTGATGCAACAATATTAAGATATAACAGCAGGGAATAACTAGGGAACCCTCTAATTAAGACATGAAGGAGATGGTTCAATAGCAGAAGACCAAAGGGATAGCATTGCTATAGACTGGTTTAGGCTGTCACAGAGATTAGGAGTGGAACCCCCGCTAGTACAGATACAAACTGCATGAGATCATTAACTTCCCATGGTATCCATCTCCTTCTCCACGTCAAGCACAGAAGCAGCTAATCATGAAGGGTGAGTGTAGTGTGAGGCAAGAGACGCAGGACACCTTGTCCAAAGCCTTACAATGAAAGTTATAGGTTTCCGTTCTGTAGCTGTCTCCTATGGACTGGAACATTACCTTCTAGACTGAGTAGGGAGACAGGAGAGGCTCATGAAACTCGCAGATCCCCTTCCTGAGGCTATGTAAGCAATAAGTCACTGCTGTGGGAGAGGAGGCTCTTCAGTAACGAGGCATCCCACAGATGCACAATACACGGGGACACAGCCTTTGTGTATTAGTGATGCAGGTACCCTTCAGTCTTCCATTCTCTTGTAAGTAAACAAAGATCCAAGCTCCTGTAAGCAACCCAAATGAACTCATCAGTTCACCATGCTGGACTTGGGGGAATTGTTTCTTTGATCTTTTGCTGTCCTCTTTACCTAGAGTCAAGGGAAACAATCTCATGGAAGGCAATGGGAAGCCTGCTACACTTCAGTAGCTCCATGAAGAAAGGCTGGTCACCAAAGTCCCTGGAGCCGTGAGTATCACTTTCCCTTTGCTGGCCCACTGGAAAGCATAGAAAAAGGCCTTGCTTGACACTGGAGAGAGGTTGGAAGAGGTAGAAAAGGAATGTTGTGTCAGCAACTTAAGTGACGATGTGGATGCAGTCTAGGGATAGTTCCCAGGACAGTCAGTGTCTGGACCGCATGTACGAGTTGGTTCACACTGTGCCTACTATGTGCCAAGTCCCAAGTCTTCACAAAATTAGGGATGAAAGAATGAGTAAAGAAAGAAACCAATCCTGTCAGAGCAGGATTGATACAACCATAAAAGGTGGGGGAGTATGTCAGAGAAAATTCGATAAAACTTCTAAGTAAAAGGAAAATAAATTCAGTGAGAACTCAACAAATCTGGAATAAGCCTATTGAACATGACTTTAAAAGAGATGTCGAAGACAAAGAAGGAAGAAAATTGGCAGTGCTGGGAAGAATTAATGAAGAAAAAAATCAATATTACTCAGTAACAAGACAGATAAAAATGCTCGAAGCACAGGGTAAGTGTGTGTAATGAGTGAGCAGCACATGGCATGTATCACAATGCAGGGAGAAGTGGGCAACGGCCTTGCAGGAGGAAGCAGGCATCTAAGTTCTGGCCATCACCAGATGAAAGATTCTGTGTGCTACCCTCGGTCACTGGAAAGAGAAAGAGCAGTTCTGAAAAGCTGCCAAGGAGTCTGCAGAGAAGTCATAAAGAGAATTTATAGGGCCACTGAGAATCAATAGTAACATTAAAATTGATCATAATTAACATTAAGGGTCATTGAACTTGGAGTAATAATGAGTGCTTATTCTGAGAAAGACTGTATGTGACAGGCACGCTGGATATTTATGTGAGGAGAGGCACTTTTGTGCTGGGTGAGAGTGGGGCAGATGTGGGTGAGTTTCTGTTGTCCCTTACATGCCACTTACATTCTCTAATGCCATTTTATCAAAATCATATAGATATATAAAAAGACAAGTGAATATAAAAATATCTGTGTTCTTGGTGCATGTGACTATTTCGTAGTTAACTGACAAATGACCGAGCCCACAGCAAGAGTCACGTGACAGCTATCTGATATGTGATAGCGTCGCTTGCTTTGTGTACACCCTGAGTTCCACTGCCTGTTGAGATACTATCAAACTTCTGAACAACAAATGACAGCGTTGTTGGCAAATTCTGTTTGGTTGGTCCTCAGTTCCTCAGAGAATACACAAAGGCTTCCTTTGGTCCTTAAAGTGACAGGTGGAAGGAGTCAGGTAAGTGATTTAGATCACCTCAAGCACCCGTGAACTCCGCCTGCTTACTGGAGTTTCAATAAGAATCCATCTGGGCTAAGAGCAGTCCCCAGTGGACACCTCACAAGTCCAAGACAGCCAAGCTCAGACTCCCGGGCCAGGAGTTCTGAAGCAGTTCCAAGAGGCCACCACATTGATATCACCCTTGATAGTGTTATCATGGTCCACACATTTAATAGCCAACAAGTAGTTCTGGATCAATGTCAGTGACCAAAAACATCTAAATGTTTATTTTTCTCTTAGAATGCTAATTTTTTTATTTTCGTTTTTCAATTCCTCAGCTCATTTGTATATGCAAATACAGCCTTAAGCACTTTCCACACAGACTAAATTATATATTTCTTTATAAATCCTAATTCTCGCCAGAGACCAGAGTTAAGGGTCAGTAGGAATGTGCATCATGAACTATATAAAACATAGTGGCTAAATTTGTTATAAACTGTAAAATATGTAAGAAGGAATTGAAAATAGTTTCGAGTGTCCAAACAGCACTAATGAAGGTCATATAATATAAGATACTGAATGCTGAAATCGGCACTACGTCTTACATGAGATTTTATGAATATTTGAAAATAGAGAAAGCTGCCCGCCTCCCTCCAAACAAAGCTATCTGCTCTGCTTGGGAAGCAATGAGAGCTGCACAATGCACATTTGTGTGGAAGAATGAGAAAGGCTCTCTAGGAAACTGACGGACAGACAGCTCTGCTCAGCCAAGACAAGTTCAAGGGGCATAGGGAGGCCAGGCTCTGACGTGAACTAAAGAAATGTACTCTTGTTCACGTTCTTTTCCCAAGCTCTTAGCTTTGTCTCCACAGCTCAGGAATCCTTAGCAGCTGGTGACTACCGGGCCAATGTGCTGTGGGTTTCACAGGAATTCCCAGAGGAATCTCTCGTCTCTTCTAACATTTCTGCCTCTCTCCCACTAACTGCCCCAGAGAACCTAGGAATCCTGATCAAATGTAAAAATAGATATTATTACGTCTGAAAAAACCCTGAATTTTTGAAAATTAAAGTTGAAATGTGACCATCAAAAGGAAACATTTTCATACTTTGTAGATGAAGCATATTGTCCTGTGCAGAGAAACTCAACGTTCATCAAAACTGGAAGCTATGCTGTGACCTTCTCCTGATTTGATCCCATTTCTGACACTTACAGACACACTCTGCACGGCCTGGGCTCACAGATGACTTCCATGCCTTCATTACATCACAAAGATGATAGCTGCCCGACCAAGCACCAGTTGAAAGCTGAAAATGTGAATTATATAAATTAAATAAATTTATATTAAAATTTGACATAAAATATTTTAAAATGGTATAAATTAAACAAATATATAAAATTTATATATAAAAATTAGTTTGTCCACAAAGCTGAGTGCCTGGAGCCAAAAATATGAGACAGCTCCATCCATAAGACGATCAATCTTCATGTGCTCAAGTGAAAAATATCTCATGTTGCTGGGTTTCTAAAAGCAATATATTTATGTCAACAAATACAACTTATTATTATATATGAAAATGATAATGGTGTAAAGAAGACACACACACACACACACACACATACAGAGAGAGTTTACGCCAGTATTTGTCAATGGCTGCATCCCGAGAGTTGACCCTCAGCGTGCCACATGAATTATCTCACTTGCTCCTCTCAGCAATACCTACTTTTCAGGTGACAAAACCAAGACACAGTGAGGTCTAGTATTTTCTCCACAGAGCAGTGGGCTGGGGTTCAAAGTCTCACACAATCTCTGAGCCACTCTCTCAGTCCTGACTACACAGAACTTTCTAGTACAGGGACTGGGATGCAGGCTGGTGATGGCCTGAGATGCATGAGGTCCTGCTGAAGATCCTTAGCACTGGCAAAGAGAAGAGTGAGGAAGACAGAAAGGGGAAGCCACACCCACGATTCCAGCAGAAGACCGCTGCTCTACCAGAGGCCACACCAGGACTAAGAACATCAGGTATGGCATCCTCTACCACCCACTAACACTTCTTAGAGCCCACACAGCTGTCTCCAACAGTACCTCCTCCCCTAAACTCCATATCCCATCCCACAATTCTTGCAGAAGATCCATGATCCTCCAGAGAGCCAAATTGGTTCTAGGACCCTCAGAGGCCAAGATGGTACCTAGAACCCTGGAAACCACAAAAGTATCTGGAATCCCAGAGTCCATAACAGAATCCAGAAAGCCAGAGGCCAGGCCAGTTCCCAAAACCCCAGCACCGCAGAGGAAAAGAGGGCACCTAAAACCTCAGAGGTCATGCAGGCTACCAAAACCCCAGCAGAGAGACAGCTTACTGGACCTGAAGATTCGCTGGTCACCAGAACCGCAGGCCACTCAGGCCAGAAGATCAGAGAGGAAACAGAAACCAAGGAGAAAAAGAAAACATCCAAAAAGATCCATCCAACAAAGATAAACTCAGAAATCATCAGCTAAATCTATAATTAGCCCAAGCCCCTGTGATTAGGGACTAGTTTAAGAGCACAGTCAACAACAGCCAGGGCAACACGGCATCTCCAGAGCCCGGATCCTACTACAGCAAGCTCTGGGTTCACCAACACAGCTGAGGCCCAGACGTTACTACAGCAAGCTCTGGGTTTGCCAACACAGCTGAGGCCCAGACGCTACTACAGCAAGCTCTGGGGACGCCACCACAGCTGAGGCCCAGACCCTACTACAGCAAGCTCTGGGTTCGCCAACACAGCTGCAGCCCGGATCCTACTACAGCAAGCTCTGGGTACGCCAACACAGCTGCAGCCCGGATCCTACTACAGCAAGCTCTGGGTTCGCCAACACAGCTGAGGCCCGGATCCTACTACAGCAAGCTCTGGGTTCGCCAACACAGCTGAGGACCAGACGCTACTACAGCAAGCTCTGGGTTCACCAACACAGCTGAGGACCAGACCCTACTACAGCAAGCTCTGGGTACGCCAACACAGCTGCAGCACAAGAAAATGACCTTGAAACCAGTCTTATGACGATGATAGAGACACTTAAAGAGGAAATGAATAAATCTCTTAAAGAAATTGATGAAGCACAAACAAACAGGTGAAAGAAATGATTAAAACTGTTCAATATCTGAAACTGAAAAGAGTAACTATAAAGAGAACACAAACCAAGGGAATCCTGGAGATGAAAAATCTAGGTAAGAAAACAGGGACTGCAGATGCAAGTATCACCAACAGAATACAAGAGATGGAAGAGAGAATCTCAGGCATTGAAGATATGATAGAAGAAATTAATACATCAGTCCAAGAAAATGTTAAATCTGAAAAGCTTCTGACATAAAATATCCAGGAAATCTGAGCTACTACAAAAAGACCAAACCTAAGGACAACAGGAATAAAAGAAGAGGAGATTCCCAACTCAAAGGTCCAGAAAATACTTTCAGCAAAATTATAGAAGAAAATTTTCTTAGCCTAAAGGAGGAAATGTCTATAAAGATACAAGGAGCTTGCAGAACACCATAGACTGGATTAGAAAAGAAAGTTTCCCTGCCACATAATAATTAAAACACTAAACGTACAGAACAAGGGAAGAATATTAAAACTGCAAGAGGAAAAGGCCAAGTAACATATAAAGGCAGACCTATTAGAATTAAATTTGACTTCTCAACATAAATAATAAACTAATTGCACTTCAGGCAGTGAAAATAAAAGCATAATGCCCCAACTATTACCAACAACAACAGAGAGGTACAGCATTTTTATGAAATATTTACCCTAAAAGTACAGCACTTAGCTCATCCGAATATATAAAGCACACAGAAGGGCACATAGCTGTGATACACATGCGCTCTTCTGAAACACAAGATTCAGAGCACAGAGTGGTGCTTGTGAGGCCTGAGCATGACCATTCAAGGGAACACTGCTCAAAAGCACAGGTTCGGCAGGACTGAGCAGGGCACCAGGACCCTGCACTTCTCACGAGCTCCCTAGTGACCATAGCACCAAGGGCAGCAGGCAACAGTCACACTGAAACAGACTAGATGATGTCTGATTAAACAGAACTCACCTGAGAGATCAAGCTGAAGAACGAAATTGTAATGATTCTGACCCTTCAAATGCAGGGAAGGAAATGGATTTTCTCTTAGAAACTGACAGCAGTGTGAACTTCGGGAAGCACAGTCGTCTGTGAGTCCTTTACTTTCAAGTCTGGACAACAACTCAAAGTAACTCAACATAGTTTTCAAAAAATTGAGGCGGGTTCCGATTTCATGAATAGCAAAGAAGGACTGGGAATACGCCCATCGTTGTATGTATAAATGAGCAGTTTTGAAACACATTTTTTAACTTAAAATTCATCTGACGGGGCATAAATAATGTGCTAGGAAGTGTAGAATGCAAGAAGTTGAGGACGGGGTCAGAATAGCTGTCCCTGTCCTTTTGTGACCTTCAGTGAAATCTGCACCATAATGGACGGAGACAGGCTATACTGAAAACCGTGTGTAAGACTGATACAATGAGGACGCTCACATCAAAGCAACTGGAGCACAGGATAGGGAGCAAGGAACGTGTGTGTGTGTGTGTGTGTGTGTGTGTGTGAGAGAGAGAGAGAGAGAGAGAGAGAGAGAGAGACGGGGATGGAGATAACGATTTCAGAGCAGAAGTGAGTGTTGGCTTCCTAGACAAAGTAAGGAACACATGCGTACACACCTTAGAACAGTAGCTGTACACACCTGGAATTTTAGCAGTCAGAGGCAGGAGAATCATGAGTTTGACCATGAGATGGAGCGGCGAGGTGGCGACAGGTATGTGAGCATGCCCCTGCGCCCACAGGTCAGGCCCGCAGTGTGGAGTCAGCACTGCAAATGGAACTACAGACGTGGCAGCAGCGGCGGGTATGGTGGGGGAGGGGGCAGCTGCAGACGAGGGAACGTGCCATTACTGAGTAGGCCCAGTCGTCGGCTGCTGGGAGGCTGGGGCCACCACAGGGCCCTCCTGGGGCTGGCACTGCTGCTGTTACTTGTAAAACTTGCCCTGCTTGGGGGAGGCGAGCATGGGGCACAACACTTCCCATAGGCCGCGAACACAATGGTCATGCCCGGGGTGCCAACAGGGCAGCTGGTGACAAGGGCAAGGTAGTGTAGAGCAGCCTGGACCTTCCGGTCCTGTCCCGGGACATGCTGCTCAACCACGTGATCACTCTAACTCTGAGCAGCAAGATATCTGAGATGAAGAACGGCTCATTTTCTGGGTTAAGCCTCTTTGAAAGACTTCTGTGATTCATGCTGTCACCAGAGACTCTGCTGATGTTCACGATCTGTGCTGTCGCCAGGGGCCATGGTGCTATGGTCAGGGAAGCTTCTTTTGCAGTGGTGTTGATGACTGCAGACCTCCTAATTGAGAATGAGGGACATTGAAGGCTTCTGGGCCAACCTCTCCCCCATGCCACCTCCTAAAAGTACAATTCAAACATGAAACTACTGAAGGGAGTCCTTAACAGTTGTGACTGACATGCTAAAGATGCTGACGTGCAGCTCTTCGGAGCTGATGGTCTCTGGGGGTGGGTGGGACACAGGACACTCAGTGTTCTTTAAGGGGCTGGCCACTGGGAGTTTGACCATGATCCTATGAATATATGGGTAACACAAATTGGACTTTGGAGGTTTTCGGGGAGGGGGTGCAAGGGTGGGTGGGTGTACTTGGGAGTAATGGGAAAAGTGTGATTGGGATGCATTGTATGAAATTCCCAAGTAATGAATAAAAACATTATGTTAGGAGGGGGCAGATAAATGCCACACAGCACAGGCAGTGTAAGCTTGTGCCACCTGGGACATGGAAAGTGTAAGACCCGGGAAAACCACAACACACATCCTTGTGTCTAGTTTGCGTGTTTTTAATGAGTACCAAAGCAAAGCTGTGTAGCAAGGGTTGTGAATTCATGAAAATGTACAACTGTATGTTTAAAAAAAACTGAAGTGTTAAAAATCCTTGAGACAAGGAGTTACCAAGTGATTCTAAAAGAATTGATAGAACCAGAAAACCAAGGAATGCAGAGATAAACGTGGTCCAGGGCTGAACAGGGCACAGGGATGGAGGACCCTGAAGCTGACATTCTCTGTCTTAGCTTCATCAACTGTCTAGAGTCCACCTGGTGAAGAGTTTAGGCTGATGCCTGTAATCCAAACACTCACAGATAATGTTCTAATAAAATTACAACAAACTCCGACAGGGACTTTCCAGTGTTACAGACTTTAAAGTTCTAGATCAAAGCAGGTGAGCTGATGTAACTTTTATGGGC